CATAAACCTACTGGCTTGGTCTTCAGACATTTCCAAGACGACCCCGTTCGAAACATTCGCCACAATTGCGCCCGCAAACTGGACCATTCCCTGCCCCGGAACAGGAAGGGATGTGATATATATATATATATATATATATATATATGTATGTATATATATGTATGTATATATATACACATGTAAGCATACAAGTGTGGAGGACTCGCAGCCATGGTGGAGGACAATGCAAAGAAAGAGGAGGAGGAGAGGGAGGATATAGATGGTGGCGATGGTGAGTACATGGATAACGCGAGTTTGGTTGTGGTTGCGGGGAGGGCGGGGTTTGGTTGTGGTTGCGGGTGGAGGCGGCAGCTGCGCCGATAGGGTCGCCGCAGCTGCGGCTGGCTCTATCGGCGCAACTGTCGCCTCATGGCACCTCTGCCCACGGGCATTGAAGAGCTATTCTTGGGGCTCACTGTTTTGAATCCGCCGGCCCCCTTGCGGGGCCATCAGGCTGCGAGGGTTAGGATTGCTGCTCCCTGCACCAGTTCCAGTTTCCAGTTTCCATTGTTACAGTACTGCTTTCTGCTTCCTACTGTAAATTGTTACTGTCCGCGCGAGGGGGGGGGGAGCCGAAAACCATCCTGGCTAGCGTACCCCAGGAGGGTTCTCAGAATTCCTGGGGGGGTAAAAATTAACACCCTCACGCAGATCGGCGGGGTCAGGGTCCAAAAACACAAGGGATTTGCCACATTTCGGAAATTCGGCTGCACCCCTCACGCAGATCGGCGGGGTCAGGGTCGAGAAACACAAGGGATTTGCCACATGTTTGAAATTCGATGGCACCCCTCACGCAGATCGGCGGGGTCAGGGTCCAACAACACTAGGGATTTGCCACATTTCGGAAATTCGGTGGCACCCCTCACGCAGATCGGCGGGATCAGGGTCCAGAAACACAAAGGATTTGCCACATTTCTAAAACTCGGTAGCACACCTCAAGCAGACCGGCGGGGTCAGGGTCAAAAAACACTTGGGGATTTGAAACATTTCTAAAATTCGGTGGCACCCCTCACGCAGATCGGCGAGGTCAGGGTCCAAACACACAAAGGATTTGCAGGGTCCAGAAACACTTCAAATTTACAACAGTTCTGAAATTCGATGAAACCCTTCACGCAGATCGGCGGGGTCAGGGTGAAAAACCCACAGGATTTTCTACATTTTCGAAATTCGGTGGCACCCCTCACGCAGATCAGCGGGGTCAGGGTCCAGAAACACAAGGGATTTGAAATATTTGTGAAATTCGGTGGCACCCCTCATGCAGATCCGTAGGGTCAGGGTCCAAAAACATAACGGATTTGCCACATGTCTGAAATTCGGCGGCACCCCTCACGCAGATCGGCAGGGTCAGGGTCCAGAAACACAAGGGATTTACCACATTTCTGAAATTCGGTGGCACCCCTCACGCAGATCGGCGGGGTCAGGGTCAAAAAACATATGGGATTTGAAACATTTCTGAAATTCGGTGGCACCCCTCACGCAGATCCGTAGGGTCAGGGTCCAAAAACAGAAGGGATTTGCCACATGTCTGAAATTCGGCGGCACCCCTCACGAAGATCGGCAGGGTCAGGGTCGAAAAACAAATAGGTCCCGACACTGGCTTCACGGCAAAGCCAAAGCC